ATGTCCATGCCCTGGTCACTCCAGACAGGGAAAGAGTGTTTCTCTTCTTTTTATAGTTCCACAGGGGAGGTAAAATACACAATGGCAGGGGAGAGAGGGAGCTCAAAAATAGGAAGGGAAGTTTGGTGGATTGACAACCAAAAATATTATACATTTCAATGAGTAAGGCATGATTTGTCAATTTGTCCTTGAGAAATCCCCAGTCTTGAAGGAGAAACAGACAGTTAAGAGACAAAACCCAACACAGAATAATAAACACTATGTCAGCAACATGATCAAGGCAAAGTTTATCTGACTCAGATGAACTGGGCTTAAATTTTCATTCTGCTAGGTGTAAGTTAGGTGACCTTGAAAAGTCATTTAACTTTTAGTTGCCTCCACAGTTGTAAAGAGAGGTTAAGAGTAGGAATCCCTTCAGAGACTCTTATTAAATAAAGTATGCAAAGCAGTTAGTATCACACCTGGACATAGCAACACCTCAATAAATGTTAGCAACTGTTGTTATTATAGAGGGCTATAGAAGGTCTATTCAATTTACTGAAAAGTCCATTCATTGTTTACTCACACAAAACTCAGACCCTGGGGCTTATCTACCTACATTTTTCTAGAAAATAGATTCATTTTAACATAACTTGTCTTTGGAAGTAGATAAATGATTCTGCCTAAAAGCAGAGACATAAACTATAATCATATCTTCCAGATGTCTTCCCAGTGCTGTGTTTAATTCATAGAAAAATGGAGTGCATGTGGTAGTGGCAGGCCACGATACTTGCGCCAGATTCTTAGAAGGTGTAGCAATTTCAAAGTTGGGAGCCTATGCAGTAGAAAGAAGTCGTACAGAAGGAGCCTTTGAGAATCACAATGTCAAGGGAGGACCTGGAATTACATGCACATGCCCAAGTATGAGTGTCCCAAGAAGCCAGCTGAGTCCTGGCCCTCCATCCTCTGCCATTATCTAATATTCTGGGATTAAGAAAGAACATTTCTCTTTATGGGTCCACTAGCTTGTTCTGTGATCTCTACTATGTCAGAGAATCTTTTCACATCTTGGTTTCATCCTCCAAAGCAGCACTGTCCTATAGAACTTTCTGTGATGATGGAAATATTCTATATCTGCACTATCCAAATATGGTAGCCACTAATTATTGAGAACTTGAAATATGGCTGTAGACAATGTATGCTTATAGCTTCTCTGCTCTATGAGCTCTCCAAAGCATGACTGGTTTAACTTCTTTTGGGTATTTCAAACCCCAAGGTACTTTTCCACTCCCAAGATCACACAACATTCCTAATGACAAAGTATTAAAAAAAACACAACAAAAAAACCATCAGAGTCCATGAGTAAAAAGGAAGCTATTATAATCAAGAAGATAAATAAAAGCCCTTTTTATAGTCACCTCTATAAAAATAATAATACTCTAAGCTAGAAGGTCATAAAGTAGATTCTATCTCACATTTTGTTTTTAAACAAGTATATTGAATTTTTAAAGCTATTGTACAGAATTTTAGGTAAGTATATACTTTTTACATTTAGGTATTTCCAGAATTGATTTTTGTTTTTTAAGTAATAGAAATTCCATGTGTTTCTGTAGGACAATGACAAATCAACAATACAAATGGGCTAAATGAGCTGAGAGAAAATGGCAATTTGCATCTTTAGAGTAGACCTTTGTTACTCAATAGTAAAGGGAATAATATGTTATTTAAAACAATACCTTTGCCTATCTGCTCAAATTTTTTCTAGAAAATAGATTCATTTTAACTTGATTTGCCTTTGGAAGTAGATAAGCCCAAGGCTCATTCTAATAAGTCAGTGGATATCAGTATTTTATCAACTTAGTAAACAATGACTGTAAAGACATTTTTGTATGTGAGGTACATAGATGGTATAATCAACTCGTTGTATCACAGTTTTTGGTAAAAGAGCTCACTTTTCCCCATGATCTCTCACCTTTAGAGATGAAGCAATGGAAGAGTAGAGACAAGAGGTTAAAGGATAGACAGGCATCCACTTGAGACACCAAAGACAGATGCACAACAATTGCATCCAAGTCACACATTGTCTACTCTTGAGCTAGTCAGATGGTGGAAAACTAGTCTTGGCCTTTCAACTGAAAACTTGTCATGAGAGACCTTGCTTCATTTCTTAGTGGCCATTTCTTTACTTGAAAAATATTAATAAGGATAATAAACTTGAAGAAAGGTAGCCTTATTAATAACCTACCTAACAGAGGAAAATAAACTATCAAACAAAAAAAGAAATAAATTCACAGCACACAATTGTCCCTTTGGAGAGAAAACTCACAACACGACTACCTTTTGTTTTAATTAAAATACCTGTGGCCTAAGTCATTATTTCTAAGAGTTTCATTTTCATAACCTTGAAGAGCCCTAAGCAGACAACAGGGGTGCGAACTCCCCACTGCAGTTCTCACCAGGACCAGATTCCAATGTACAGAAATGCTTTAACATTTTGATCTTACCAAACATATGTTATTTTGATTTATGTATATTTGACTTATAAAGGTTATCTAAACCTCTAGCAAGATTTTATTCTTCAATTTGTAAGGCTCTCTCAGGTGCTTGCAAAATTCGGACTTAAGGAAAGAGATTAACTTGCCTACACTGACTGCACAGAGGGTAAATTCTTTCTAGAATACTGGCTAGTGAACACAGAAGAAATGATAGACTTGGAATATCATCATTCTGTAAACCCTAATAAAGTAATGATTTTGGGCAATGATCATCAATTGCCAAAACCATTAGGTGAAAAGCCAAGACAATACATTAACAATGGATGCACCTGGCTGAGAAACCTGTGCCTGCCCACATTTCCCCACATCACACACGAAAAGAGGAACAACCAGATGGTGTGTATATCTTGGAAGATATACACAGCACCACCTAGAACGTGGTCTTGCCAAAAAAACCCAACCCTGAATATGATCACATTTCTAGATTGCAGTTGCCAGATTTAGCAAGCAAAAATACAGGGTGAGGAAAAAACAATACAGGATGCCAATATTGCCTGGGACATACTTATGCTAAAGAAAACCCGTTTGTTATTTAGGAAATTCAAATTTAACTAGGTGTCCTATAATCTGGAAACCCTACTCTAGATCTAAACGCCAGTTCACAGGAAATACGTAGGGATGCCGACAGAAAAAATTTAGAATGCAGAAAACTCTATAGGACAAATGTCATTCAAAAAATAAATAGCAAGGAAACAATAGTTTATTTGCTCATTGAAGGAAAAAAAAACTATTTGTTCTTTGACACATAAATTGTAAGAATGAAATAGGGAGGAAACCTATAGGTTCTTTAGAGGAAAAGAGACTTGAGAGGCATAACAATGATTTAAGGTGTGAACTTTGGACTTAACTGATAATAAACATTTATGATACAATTTCAAAAATTTGAACACTGATCGAATATTTAGGAATTACTGTTGACAATTTTAAGCATCAAAGCTGTGTTTTACAAAAGAATTTCTATTTTTCTAGAATTCTAATTTTCTAGAAATTCTTTTACAAAAGAATTTCTAATCCTGGTTGTGGATGAAATGATATGCTATCTGAGATTTGCTTCAAAACAATCCTGTGACAATGTGGTAGGTAAGGGAAGAGTGACGAGAGTAGAGGTGAAAATAAGAGTGACAGGTGCTGACGATTTTTGAAGCTGAGTGGAGTATGTGAGGGCTCATTTATTAGCCTACCGTTGCATATATATGAAAAAATTTTAAAAGTTTTTAACAGGGGGTTGTTTAAGAAAAACTAAGATCTAACTATATAATTTAATAAATAGAATATTAATTAAGATACATCATATTTCTACTCAGAAAAATTGAAGTATTAAAAGAAAAAATAGAATAAAGAATAAAAAAAATTAAAAAAAAATACATCAACCATAAATTTGCATGCCTTTGTAATAATTGAAAGGAATGTAATCATAATGCTAAACTCTTTAGGGAGGGACTTTAAAAATATAATTTTAATTGTCACTACCTATTAACTAAGATATTAACTTTAAAGTAATGTCAAACACACTGGTAAAATTGCCTAGCAATAAATCCATTCATAAGCACAGATCCTTTGGGTGTGTGCTTTTTTGACCTATATAAATAGTTTGCTCCAGGGACAGCCGCTCCAATTAAAACAGAGTGGAGGAACTACGGTGGTTTGCATTCAACAATGGAAGTAGAGTGTGGCCTCTAATACACATGAACCTTCTTAGTTAAGCACTGAGCAGCCAGCAAAAGTGTGTGCCTGTGTGTGTGTGTGTGTGTGTGTGTGTGTGTGTGTGTGCGTGCGCGCACACTGAGTTCAAGGTTGCTGCCATTTCTGAACATGGAGGCCCAATTAAATAAATGCAGGGCAGTAAGAAGTATAAATGCTATTTCAAAAGCTCATCTTTATTTTTAAGAATGACTAATTAGCTTTGCAGCCTATTAGAAAGATTTTTGCATACTGACCTGCAAGCACTCTTTGCCACTTTCTGATTACTTCTTGATCTTAAACTGTCAAGCTAAGAATGAAGGGGACCACAACATGGAGAATAATAACAATTTTGATTCATTGTTTAAAAAAGTCAGCACATGTCATTTGAAATCCTGATAATGATGACAATTCATAAGGGATATCAGATTGTACGTTCATGTGAAACAGGCATTCTCAATGCGCTAAAGAGAAGTAAATAGAAATAAAACTTACACTTTTTCTTTAAGTCTTATGAACAGCTTTGTAAGAAAGTTACTAATGCCATTATGAGAAATTTAAAGCCCTTACCGAAATACATTTAAATAAGGTTGTTATTTTGAAAGAGTTTTAGATTTATAGAAAAATTATAAGGATGTAGAGTTCCTATATACCCCACACCCAGTTCACCCTATATTAATATCTTAAAATAGCATGGGACATTTGTCACCATTAATGAACTATTATTGATACATAATTATTAACTAAAGTCTATACCTAACTAAAATTTCCTCAGTTTGTACCTACCTAATATCCCTTTTCTATCCAGGATCCCACATTGCATTAGTTGTCATGTCTCTTTAGGCTCCTCTTGGCTGGGACAGTTTCTCAGACTTTTGCTTGGTTTTGATGACCCTGACAGTTTTGAGGAGTACTAGTCAAGTATTCTGTAGAACGTCCCTCAGATGGGATGTACCTGATTTTATCTCATGATTAGACTGAGGTTATGGGTTTAAGGGAGGAGGCATAGAGGTAAAATGCCTCCTTCATCAGATCATACCCACTGTCACATCATGCTAGCACATGATTTGTCACTGTTGGTGCTGACCTCGATCACCTGGCTGAATGAAACACACTTACAGCCATCCTCTGTTGACATAAACAAGGACAAAGGACATGATGAGTTGAGTCCTGATGGTTTCTAAAGTAAACAGCGGTGGCGAGGAAAGGGAGGGTAAATTCTTTCCAGGAAACCCTGCCAAGAGAGCAGCAAGGACTCTATGCCAGAGTGTAAAGAACTTTGAAGCATATTGGAAAGTTAGAAATACATTCTTTAGAACTCTACTGGGGCAAGTACTATTACCCACACTAGACAGAGGAGGAAACTGAGGCACAGTGACAAAGATACAGGCAAGCTGAGACGCAAATCCAAGTGGTCTGACCACAAGGTCCAGGCTCTTAACTACTGTGCACGCTGCCTCACCAGTGCTGTCTTTTGTTTTTTGACAGGGCCTAGGTGACAGAGCAAGCCTCGAACTCCTGGGTTCAAGTGATCCTCCCGCATCAACCTCCCGAGTAGCTGAAGCTACAGGTGTGCACCACCATGCTTGCCTAATTTTTTCTATTTTTAGTAGACACAGGGTCTCGCTCAGGCTGGTCTTGAACTCCTGAGCCCAAGTGATCCTCCTGCTCAGGCTCGGGGGGCTGGGACTACAGGGATGAGCCACTGCACCCAGCTCTGTTTCTCCTTTTAAAATGCAATTTCAAATTAATGTCAAGAGCTCTGATTTTAGCAATAATGTGTGAGACATGTTTATACCCAAGAAGGTGAGAGGCAGGATTTCAAACTGCTCTTCTTTTCTGATGTTATATGTGTGTTCAATTACTGCATCAATGGATCTAGAGTGAATTACACATAAGCAGATCTTTATTTCACAACTACGAAAAACAAGTGTAGATCAGTCTGAAATAATCCTTATCCTCAACTTTTCAGACTAAGGAAGTGCTCAGATGCACTAGATCTCTACTGCCACCTAGTGTTAACAATTTCTCAGCATTAAAGGCGCAAATGTTTGGGAAGAGATCTGTGCTCAAAAAACCACACTGAGCTCCTTCAGCCATTTCAATCACAGGATTTCCAACTCGCTCAAAGCCTTTTTCTTGGAAAAACAAGAAAGAATATATTCTTTATTTGTACTGCACAAATTTCTAAACTCTGTTGTCTCCAATGTGTCCAAAATGTTTGCATGAGAAAAAAAAGTTGATTCTTTGAAGATCCAGATTGGCCCATGCCTTATAGAAGCCAGCAAGAAAATTAGCTGCTATTTTTTGGATGAGAAAGAAGTCCATCTACTTTGGCACCAACATTGATCTTTTTTCTTTTACTTCCATTTCTGATCTACATTAGGAAATATTGGTGGGAAAAGCCCATATAGACAGTCTTAAGTTATATCCATCAACAATTCTCCCTAAATTAAGCAAGCAACAGAAGAAAGTAATGCCTGGGCTGGCCCCAGGCCTACAAACCAGTGTTGTTCCCAGTTTAGGTTCAAAGGCTTCCAAGCAACTAGCAGCTTGGGTCAGTTAATGCCAAAGGAACTTTCGATCTGGAAGCATCTGGGGTGAGAGATGGCCGTCCTGAATGGCAATTCACAGCCATGAGCTGAGTTCAATGAGAAAAGATCTGTAATTTCTATTTAATCATTTTCTCATCCCTTATATTGCATCTTGGCTTACTGTCACAAAATAAAAGCAGTAATTAGAGATTGTTTTATAATGTGTGTTACCCATAAGAGAAAAATGTTTATGACAGAAGATAGAGCTGGGTGTGGTGGTGCCCACCTATAATCACAGCTACTCTCTAGAGGCTGAAGTGGGAGGATCACTTGAGGTCAGGAGTTCCAGATCAGCCTGGGCAACACAGTGAGACCCTTGTCTCAAAAACCAAAAACAAAACTAGGTCTTCACGTCTGTGCTTTTCTTACCTTTTGTGGCTAATGTGAAGAGCGCTTGTCCGTGGGCCTTAACAGGCATCCTGGCTGCTGGCAGCATTGGGAATTTCTGCTATCTGGTTTTCGAGGAAGTAATCAATATTAATTAAGTAACCAAGATTAATCTACCAAGATTAGTTGTATGTTTCGAAAGTGATAGCAAACATCACAGTTGTCATCTATTCTTGAAAGTTTTTGCTTTTCAATCACAACTATAGCTGAAAAAAAATTACCACCACCATAAAGGTAATCTAGTCAAATTTTGACTCAAATCACCATGAGAAACTAGATATGCTTATTATTTAATATCAGCCATCCCCTCTAGTAGTAGCAAACCCAGGGCTCAATCCTGTGGAGCTACTACCTAAATATCTGACTTTTCCAAACTTCTCTCCTTTCCCATTACTTATTAAAGAAAATTTCACTCACAATTGTTACTTACTCCCTTTACCATTAAAGGAAAAATCATCACAGCAGTTCACACAATGAGCCCTCCATTTCTGTGCTTGCCAGGCAAGGAGCACACACCAGCGCATGGCCCTGCCAGAGGAGACAGTAGTCGGGGGTCTCGCTACATGTGTTAGGGGGTGAATGTACCAATTAAAGACTGAATCTTGTTCCCCAGGTAGGACAAAATGAGTCCATGAGCCCTTGTCCAATTGGGAAAGACAAGTCCCATAGGTCATTAATCAAAAGAGAATCTCTAGTTAGGTCCAGAGAGGGTCTGGCCCAGCCTGAGGTGATGCTTCAAGTTCACGGCCATTTAGCAGACCCACTTGTGGTGGATCACAGTATCCAGCTTTTTCAAAAATAAACTTCTTATTTTGATAGAATTGTAGATTCACGTGTAGTTTTAAGAAATAATACCCTTCTCCTCCAATGGTAACATTGGATGACAACATCTTGTGTCATTTCACACTCAGGATACTGATGTTAGATAATCTACCCATCTTACTCAGATTTGCCATTTTACTTGTACTCATTTGTGGGTATTTGGTTCTGTGCCCTCTTATCACATGTGTGGGCGTGTATTCACCCCACAGTCAAGACAAGAGACTGTTCCAGCCTGACAAGGATCCACCCTCCCTCCTGCTCTCCCACTCCAACCACTGCTAATCTGTTCTCCGCTCTAGACTTTTGCCACTTCAAGAATGTTATGTAATAAGAATCATACAGAATGTAACCTTTTGGGATTAGCCTTTTTCATTCTGCCTAATTCCCTTAGAGTGACTCAGGTTGTTAAGTGTTATCATCAGTAGCCTGTTCCTTTTCACTGCAGAACAGCATTGCACAGGAGCGAGGTTTAACCACTCACCTACTGAAGGACACCTGAGAGAATTCCAGTTTGGGGCCACTACAAATCTGCCATTTTAGTCTTGGTTTTCTGCTTGTCTTCTCTGTTTCTCTCGTCTTACCTTTCTCCAGGGGTTCCTTGAACACCCTTTAGAACCTTGTCTTGGTCTAACTGTAGTGGCTTTGAGTGTATGGCCTTTACCCCTCTGAGGCTGGGGGTTGGGAAGGGCTGGGCTTTGGTCACCATCTTCTGCTGGGTGGGAAGTTACAAGACCCCCTCCTGCTTTTTTGTTCTTCCAGCCCCCGGGTGCACTTTGCCTTTCTTTTTCCACTTCTTAGAGTTCTTTTGTTGCCTCTGGCATTATTTCCAGGGTTTGTAGTCTTACTTAGCAGGAAGGAGCAAGTCTACCCTATCTTGTCCACACCAGAAGGCCTGGCACATCACAGTATCTATTTTTGATATTTCCCAGGGAAGTGCTGCTACACGTGGAAAGTTGTTCTTTTACACTACGTCTATTACTGGAGGGTTATCATATTTTCAAGTGAGAAAAGCTAATTGCAATGTAAAGCATATAACATAACCACATCCTTTACAAACAACACACTTCCTTTTAGTATTTGTACATTTGTATTAAAGAAAGTGTGCAAGGAAGGGTAAGCACAAGGTTGTTCACATTGACTGATGGAAGACAGGAGAAAGATTACTGATTTCATTTCCCTGTATTGTTTCACTGATTACAGTGAAAACTTTTTTGTTTTTGAAGAAGAAATCAACAAAATAATTTTCAAAAATCAATTCTGAAAACTGGAAACAACCCAAATGTCCTTCAACAGGTGAATGGTTAAGCAAACTGCGATCCATCCACACCAACAAGAAGGAACCAACTACTTTTTTTTTTTTTTTTTTTAGACACAGTCTCACTTTCTTTTCCAGGCTAGAGTGCCGTGGCGTCCGCCTAGCTCACAGCAACCTCAAACTCCTGGGCTCAAGCAATCCTCCTGCCTCAGCCTCCTGAGTAGCTTGGACTACAGGTATGCGCCACCATGCCTGGCTAATTTTTTCTATATATATTTTTAGTTGACCAATTAATTTCTTTCTATTTTTAGTAGAGGCTGTTTTCCAACTCCTGACTTTGAGCGATCCGCCCACCTCGGCCTCCCAGAGTGCTAGGTTTACAGGCATGAGCCACCTCGCCCGGCCGGAACCAACTATTGATATGTGCAGCAACATGGATGGATTTCAAGGGTGTTATTACACTGAGTGAAAAAGCCAATCTCAAGAGATTACATACTTTATGATTCTATTTACAGAATATTCTTCAAATGACATCACCAAAGATCTGGAAAACAGATTAGTGGTTGCTAAGAGATTAGAGAGGTAGAATGGGAGGTAACATGGCAGTACAGTATCTTGACTATAGTGGTGGTGCTGACACAAATCTATACAGGTAATAAAGTTGCACAGAACTAAGCATGCACACACACACACACACACACACACACACACACACACACACTGCATGTAAAACTGTGAAATCTGAATGAGGTTGATGGATGTGTCAATTTCCTGGTTGTGATAATGTCCTAGAACCATGCAAGATATTGCTGTGGAGAGAAACCAGGTGAAGAGTGTATGATCATTCTGTATTACTCCTTACAAGAGCATGAGCTAAGATAGAAAATTTAAGAATCAATTATAGCACCACAAAGATGGCGACACAGGAAACACGTACCCTTAGGTATAAGCTCCCTTGCTTTTTCTTAACTCTAGCCGCTCTCCCCCCTGGGAAGCGGGGCTGAGGTTGACCACACCTTCTTCATAAGGAGATGGTTTTCATCTCTTTTTGCTGTGCACCTGCATTTTTCTGATGAAGATAAAATAAACTCTACTTATAAAAACTATATGGGGATGGTGCAGAGAGGACAAAATAGTAACAAAATTTAAAATGGTTCTATAATTAGAAAAAACAATGAAGATATAAAAATATTTTCTTAAAAATTTGTGTGTCAAGACATTGCTTTCCTTCTCTGAGCATGATATAAAAAGAAACATGTATTTGGTCTCTGCCCTGGTTCCTTGTATGGAGCTCCTAAAACCCTGTAATTTCCTGAGCAG